CCCCCCCTTCTGTAATTAATTAATTAATTCTGTAATTAAAGCCCACGGTGAGAGCTGCGAGGTCCCGCTCACACCTCTGTGCAGAGTCTCCCTGAGAACCGCGCTCCCCTCCGCTCCCAAGTCCGGCTCCAAACTGCAACAGGATACCACAAATTTGCTGTTTATTATATCGAGCGGTTGGCATTCAGCAAGCCCAACTTAAAAGGAAACACATGACTTTGCAACACGTAAGAGCGCCTAACATTCACCGAGGCTTTCGAGCAAAACTTTCTGCTACAATTAAGAGAGAAAACTTGAGGAAGGCAGTGAAGCGGGCCGGGCTGTTTGTTTTTTCCCCCCGCCGCTCTCGAGGCTTTCTTTCCCTAAGCCCTCAGCCTGCAGCCGGCGCTGTGCGGGGCTGAAGCCGCAGCACGGCGACCCGAGGCGGCTCTGAGGAGCGGTTTCTCCCCCGGCCGCTCTCCCTGCAGACGGCACGCCGCTCGTTTGCTGCCTTCCCCAGGGCGTGCGTTACAAACACGGCCGAGAGCGAAGGGTTCGCTCGCTGCGTGGCATCACATCCACAAGCAGAGTTATAAACGAGCACAGACGTCGATTGGGAGCGAATATAGAGAGGGATTTCAGATGTGTAAACCTATAAAATGCCGAAATGCGCAGCGCGATACGCGCCGTGTGCGTTCATTCATTCGCACGTGAAGGTTATATAAATACATGGACACGCAGCGCGCTCCTGCAGGAGCTGCAAACCCTTCCTTACAGCAGCGCGGGTGCTTTTCGCCGCTTTTTCTGCATTTCCAGACGTAATTAGTCAGCAGAAATGCATTCCTGTATCACGGCAGAGACACAGGCACAAGCGAGGCAGCTGATAAACAGAATCTCCCTGCCCTCCTGCAGCTACCACCTCACCAGCAGAGATACGTCGCTACAAATATTTTTTGCTACATTTCCCCTTCTCTCCATGAAAGAAGAAATACCGCGTGCAGCAAGGCTGCAATCAGGCCGGCGCCTTTTCCAGCCCCAAATTATTTTCTTTCTGCTCCCAGAAAGTATTAAGCTGCTGAACCATGAAGAGCCCCTCTCGCCCCCTGCGCACGCATCGAGAGCGGCCGGTTCGCGGTTCAATAGTTGAGCCTTTCCCCGGAGTGCGCTGCCCTCAGCGGGGCTTAGCAGTTGCCTCGCACTTTTCCTAATTCCTGATGAAATGAGCTCGATGGAGGCAGTGCCGGACAGAGCCTTGCTTCGGAGCAGGCTGCCGGTGCAAAGACCGAGGGGGGAGGGAGCCCGAAAACCCAAGCACGACCCCCATCCCACACCTACCTTCCCGATTTGGTGATCACCATCTCCGTGCCTCTTTTATGGAATTGTTCCCAAAGCTCTTTGGCTTCCAGGTGCACTTTCGGGTCGTCTTCCACTTCTTCTTCTGGCTCCAGAGTTTTTAAAGGCCTCAGATGGGCTGCTGCCTGGTGGCCCAGGGAAGAAAAAGGGATAGCAGTCTCTGCAGCCCCCACTAGCTGATCCATAATGGGCTTAGCCAGGGCCCCGGGGAGGGAGAGGGCTGCCGCCCCGTTGGGGGGCAAAGCCAGGGCCGGGAAAAAAGGGGGCTGATGTCCCAGCACGGCGCTCATGGCAAAGTCCGGTGCCCGGTGAGGTAAAAAAGGATGATAAGCCATGCTTGTCCCAGGGATCACTGGATCTCTCATCGGTATATTCATCCACTCCACTCCTCGATCTTCCTACTGCTGGAGTAGTCCTGGAGTGGTTTCTAACAGCACATCATGGAGAAGAAAAATTAAGATAATAACAATAACAACGAGAAAGCACCAAAAAGAAAAAAAAAAATAGGGTGGGGGAAAACAAGCTCTAAACAGCACAGTACATGGGGGAGAGGCAGAACTTTTACAGCCTACAACTTCCCGAGCCGGGGCACATCCTCGGCCCTCGGGACAGCAGGGTAACAGGATTGTTCATTATTCGTCTTGCTTTCTGTGTTGTTGTTCTCCCTCTGCGGCTCTTTTTCCCCGGGTTGAAGTCCTTGCGCTTGAACAGCAATGCCGAAGAAGGGGAGAAAAAAATCCACCGGGTTCGCTGCGTGCTCCCGTTGCCGCGGAAGGGCTGGACAAGCTGAGATCCTTTTTTTCCTCTTCTTTTTTCTCGTGCTCTCAGTCCCTCTTTTCTTCCGTCGCGGAGGGTGGCGGCTGGAAGTCGGGCTCGCTTTTTGGGTCGGCTGTGTTCCCCCCCTCCCCCCCACCCCTCCACCTTTCCTCCGTACGGGCAGGCTGCAGAGCAGAGGCTGGGGAGGGAGGGAAAGCAGAGAGAAGCGAACAAACCCACCCCCCCTCGCCGAGCGGGGAAGGCTCCTCAGCAACCTTCAGGCAGCGGCAGCAGCAAAACTTGTAGGGAAATCTCGTTTCCGCCTCGCCTTCCCCCGCTCCGAGCAGGAGCTGGTCACAGTGCCCTGATTTCCATCAGGATCTCTTCTTTCTTTTACCCTCCTCCTATTTTTTTTTCCTTCCCCTTCTCTTTCTCTTTCACTCTGCCTTAAAAAA